TAATAATAATACTTACTAATGATTCTGCCAAACTGATAAATATTTTAAAAGTTTGGGGAGCAAGAAAATTTTTTTTTATATCTATAATATTTGGATAAATTTTTTGAATGTGTTCAATATGATTTTTCCACATATGAAGAAAAAAATAAGCTAACATCGCCATTCGTAATCTTTCATTATGTGAAATTGTACGACTTTGATATGCATCAATCAATTCACCTAAAAAAGTAAATTTCGATTAAAATTATAAACAATTATATATAAATAAATAATATATTTACCAATTATAAAAAGATAAATAAATAAACCATCTTTACTATGATCTTGTGATTTATTTTGATTATACACTTGTTTTAAGAATGATGAACAAAAAATCAGGTATGCAGCACCGTCATCTTGACGATCTGCATTTTCTACATCACGCTTGTATAATACACTATCAGGCATTTTACTAAGCATAAGTATTTGATCATATCTTGCAGTTACAGTTCCTAATGTAAGTAATCGAGCACCAGAGAATAATGCATTTCTACCACTTTTTTTCCCATGTTTGGAATCTTGAATGCGAATTATTGGGCCAATATTAGGAAAAACTGGACACATAAACTTAATATTATATAGCTTATCTTCGAAAATAATTTTTTCTGTAGTTAATGTATTAATTAGCATTGATTGCGAATTAAATTCATTTGCTGCTCCATCTGATCCAAAAGAAATAATATTAATTTTCAATTGTGCTGCATATTCTAGAATTTTTTGATGATATGTAAGAATATCTGCAGCTTTTTCTTTATTGTTATTTGGAATTAAACCAATAACTATTGGTGGGATTTTGGGTAAAGGAATATAAAATAAAAAAATAGAAATCAATGTTTTATTTAACTTAAAATATAATTGAAAAAAATATTAATAATAAATACTTGGAGCAAATAAACTCGAACTTGTTTTGCTATAGCATTTTTGACCTTTATTTTATCAATAATTGCAATGATTTCTTTATAATTTGATGCTTTTGTTTCTGAAGTTGATAAAGTTGATCCAATAACACAGCCTAAAGTTGCTGAATAACTAAGACGTTCTTTTAATTTAGTGTTATCTGTCATAGCAGCAACTGGGCCATTGTAATTTAATGAATCGGCAAATATTTTAAATCGCACAATATTCTCATAACAAAGTTCTGTATTAATAATTGCATCGTCTGATTGTGCATGATGTAATCTTATAATAAAACATTGTTAGATGATAATACAGAATAAAATTGTATTATATTTGCAAAAATAAGCACAATTACCTAATATTACGAAGTGTACGTCCAGCTAAATTTTACTTAAACAGTTCATATCCTCTTGTTCCCAATGATGCCAAAATAGTTGTAAAATTTGCAAAGTTTTCGGTATATTGCAAATTTTGATTTCCTTTATTATTTTGTTCACGATTAGCTATTTCCAGCATAACTTTACAAAGTCCTTCAAAAACTTTTTTATTTTTGAATACTCCTTGCCGTCCTTTTTCTGCTAATATTGGCCAAAATGAGTCTTGCTTTGAATCTACTGAATAATAAAGTTCATTCAGATTAGAGTCATTTAAGTATTTGAAGATCGGATTTTTTTTAATTATAAATTTTGGTGTAAATTTTCGATTCTCTATTTTTGGAATTGGCCGTTCAATTGCATTCTAATAATATAATATGTAATGTAATTAATATAAAATTAAATTTAATAATTTTCATTATTTATAATTTTAATAAATACCATTAAAATTTTGTTACTATTTAACTTCATAAATTTTTTACAAATTCTTCCTTTGTTTGTTGTTGTAATTTTACATTTTACACTTCGAATACAATTAGAATTAAAATCGTTGCGCCATTTTGCCCTTGCAACTAACTCATTCTCTAATTTGATTTTTTCATTATTTGTCAACCTTTTCCAACTAAAATTTTTGTCAAATTTTATTGGAAATAATTCTTTTGCAAATACTTCAACACGTGGTGCACCACCATAATGTATAATTCCACCAATTCTTTGTAAATATTCTAAGTGCTTCTCGTCTCTCAATCCAATACATGAAATTTGGTGAGATTTTGTAGAATTTACAAAATAACTTGTGAGTGGACGTATTCCTTCTGTTAATAAACAGTTACTAGTTTTACTATGTTTTTCTAAATTTCTTGAATTATAAGCTCGATGCAATCTGATTATCTTTCCACATTTACATTGAACTTCATTGCGAGTAATAATCTTATTAACTTTCGGATGATTTTGTAATCTTTTATCCTAATTAATAAAAAAAAATTGAATAATTATTAGCATCATAAATTAACTATGAATAGATTAATTATCTTGAATTCTGATACTTACTTTAATATGATCAAGTTTCGTTATTCGCTTTTGACTATTTAGCGTTTGCTTTTTCCTAACATTTTTTTCATTATTAGTAGTATACGATGATGATGATGATGATTCACCATCATTATCATCAACATTTGAGTTAAATTCCACTATATCAGAACCATCACTCATACATTTTTCTGATTCAAGAATATTGAAAGGTATATTTTCATTTTCATCAGATTGAACATCACGCATTTCAATATCAATATTTTGATCAGGTGAAGGTGGTGAATTTCTTTTGAAGATTGGAACAAAATGATCTGTTTGTGGTAAAGGATCATTAATATTCCACTTTCCACTTGATGGTGTCCACATTATCATAATAGGTTCATCATAAGCTTTAATTCGTGGTTCAATTAATTTATTATACAATGAACTAATTAGTTGAGAAACAGTTGGAGGATATATTAACATTATCGGTCTTTAAATTACTGATGCTAAGCCATATAATCCGATAATTGAACAAAACTGATGTGGCTTAGATATATAAGCAATTTCACAAATATATTCTCTTTCTTTATTATATGTAGTCAGCATATCTGAATTTTTGGCTGAATTTAAAGCTATATCGGAAAAATAATAATCTTGTTCAAAAATTTTTTGACTAAGATAAAAATTTGAAAATTTCATCAATTCTACAACCATAGCTAGTCTAAATTGTAATGCTAACATTTGGTTTGCATTAAAAATTAGAGATATAGAATTTAATAAACAATCTCCATTAGAAAATACAGCTGCAGAAGTTAAATGTGGATATTGCAAATGGAGGATTTTTTCAGCAGTATTATCAATATTAGTTAATGGAGGAAGAGTTTCGTGAGGAGTGTCAAAAGTAATAGAAAAGATACCGGATATATTAATAGTTGAAACATAATCTTGAACAGAATGAATATTAGGAGGAGGAGTTGTAGAGAGAAATTTATTAATGTTTAAAAGTTGTTCAAGATTTTTACTATTCATTTTGTGTTGATATTGATATATAATAACGTAAAAGATAAAGTTAAGACGCGTATGTGTCTTAACATTTTAAAAGTAATAAATGGTAAAACATATTGAATTCCTGGTAAGTTTATCATGGATAATATAAAGTAAATTTGATAAATTTATTACATTGCGGTAAATTTATCACAAAGTAAAAGATGGATTTTTCTCGTTTGCTATTTATATAATTATATTGAAAATTGATGTAACACTGCATATGATAATCCTAAAATATACGCTTTTATTAGAAAAATTACATGTGACCTTAAAATTTTGTCTAAAATTATATACTTTTTTTACTGTGACCTAATTTGGTGGTACTCTATTTTGGCATGTAACATTTTCTTAAAATACCCGTTTTTTCATATGACCTTTCCATTAAAAACGCAAAATTATATACTTTTTTTGCATATGACCTTTATTATAATTATACGGGGTCCTGAATTAGTATTATTGTATATAAAATTTAAAATTATAAGACAAATTATTAAATTCAATATTCATATATTATTGAATAATTTATTGCTGGGTAAAAAAAAATATTGGCCAAGGATCGTACCCATAGACTTTAATTTTACTTTTCACCGCTTAAAAAGCTTAATCCGGATAAATTAACGCTGTTAATGCTATCGGCAATATTATCATATATTAAAAACCTGCATATTTCTTTCTAATCGATTGACTATGAATCTATGATTATAAATCTATAAACCAAGAAATGAGGTGAGGTAATCATACATAGTAGTTTGTAGTATTTTGTGGATAGTCGTGATTTCGTGGTTTTAGGTGATTTTAAAAAATTACAGTATTACTTGTTATACTTTTATTATTGTTATCTAAGTAGAGCTTTCCTTGAACGGATAGTATCCTATAATTAATTCGGATTATCCTAATAATAGGATAACGGATATCTCTATAAAGTTCACAAGTGGATAAAGGATTATCGGATTATCTTTGGATAATTTAATGAAATAATAATCACAAATTACAGTTTTCGTGTCATGCATCCCTAAAAATCTGGAAATAGTGTCTGATACTTTTTTTTGTTTCATTTTATTTCGTTTCTTATTTCGTTATATTAACTTTTCTTTTTTTTCTTTAGTTTCGTTCCCTAACCGACATTAAAATTTGGAAACATTAGCCCTGTTCATTTCTGTTCTGTTCTGTTCTGTTCCGATTTTTACCAAAGTTTTTAGCCAATCAAATTCATTTAAAAATCGGAACAACAACCGGAACAACGGATTAAAAAAATTGATGATCCGAGTGTTCCGAAATTTGAAAATGCAATACATGCTTTAATATGGTTGGCTAGAAATAAACGGAACAGATTGAACCCGATTTTTCTACTCAATTTATGCCTTTTTTTAATTGGCTAAAATTAATTACACTAAAATCGGAAAAGAACAGAACAGAACAGAAATGAACAGGGCTATTAGCTGGTAGGTTTCTTTGAATTCTTCTTTTGGTTTGTCTAATTTCATTGCGAGAGTATTCTACAAAATACGTAATCATACCAAAACTAACGCTTAAACCTCGAGTGTAAGTTTTCATTTAATACTTCAGGAGCTGTATAATACATATCTCTAAACTTCAATACTCCCAACTTCTCCACATATTCATATTGAAATTAATAATGTACGCTGTTCGTTGAAATTAATATATTCCCTGTATGAAAATCGCGATGGACCATCTGTTTTCGATAAATTTCTTTAAAACTTTGAATAATTAGTCCGAAGTGTAACGAAGGACTACGCGTACGTAATGTCCCGGCAAAAGTGTCATTCTTGATATATAAAAATAAAATAAGTATATGTCTATCAAGAATCATACTATAAACATGTCGAGACTCGAGAATGATATTTTTGCTTCGCACGTGACATTGTGCAACAAAAAAATAACGGATTCCGTTTCCTAGTTTAATTCGTGATTCGCGTAACAATCAGAGAAATTTTACGAAATTACTATTCAATTTAGGGGAAAAAATAAAAAAGTTATTTGCGATTATATCATTTTACAGTGATTCAATTTCGATGAACATTTTTTTGTCGTGTAGCTCTCTACGCCTTCTATAAAATAAAAAAAAGATCGTCGAAATTGGACCAATAGAATGTGAGATAATCGCAAAATCAATTTTTTCCGGAGCATGTCGGATTCGAAATTACGATCTTTTTTTTATTTTATAGAAGGCGTAGAGAGCTACACGACATAAAACTTTCGTCGAGATTGAATCACTGAATCACGAGATAATCGCAAAAAACGGTTTTATTTTCTCCCCCAAATTTGAATAGTAATTTTCTCCGATTGTTACGCGAATCACGAATTAAATAATGTATTTTATTTGGTTTTATATTCCATCTTCTTTCCGTAAAAGGCTCATATTTCCAGAATTATAATCTTCACAATTGAGTCTACAGGAAGCGTGGTATTAGTAGATACTATATAATTATGCTAAATTTACCAAATACTACAGTATGATGAGTATGATGATGAAAAAATTAATTATTATAGTACTTTGATTATTTATCAATTTGTAAAAAGGTTACTTAATTATAATTATGTACTAGTGTAACCAGATTCAATCTACTAGTGAATAATTAATAAATTATCGTTCTTTATTTAAAATTTGTATGGAGCGTATGATAGCGAAGGACGCGCATAGGACATATAACCAATTATGAACCAACAATTTATTTTAACCACTTTCAAAAGTATTTGATCATACTAAATAGTATGACACGATATTTGTTAGGGTATTCAAAAATTCGAGGAGTATACTCTACAAGAAATAGAGTTTTTGCAGTTCGTAGTTTTGCTAAATCACACTTTATATAACTCAGCTAGGTATATAGAATGTATGTAAAAGTGTAAAAGGAATGTTTAAAAGGTAACTAAATTTAACAAATTTTTATAAATAGTAATATCTTTTGAATTATATCAGTAATGATTTTAAAGCAACTTTTTATCCATATATATACTGAATAATATACTGTATGATTGAAGTTATACCGTAAATATATGATTATAAATCAGTCATGTACCGCATCTTTTATTAGCCCCTTTAAATTTCCAACATTTCGAACTTATTTTATGGAAGATTTAGAGTTCTATATGAAAGATTAAGAGAAGAAAAAAATCATGAGAATGAAATATATAAATTTATTTACTGTAATAACTATATATATATAATGATAATAAATGATAAGTTTAACATATTCTTATTCCTCTTTTTTCTAGAAATCGAATTGCATTATTGTTATCATTAAAAGCAGCCTTTCTTAACCATTTAATTCCTTCATCTTCGTTCTTTGGGATATTTAATTTTCCATTATAATATATATCACCTAAATTATATTGTGCAATATTATTATTTCCTTCAGCAGATTTAGTGATATACTTCATAAATGTATCTATGTTATTATTTTCAGGCAGAACCCTTACAAAAGTAAAAGCATAAAATAACTGAGCATCATGATGTCCTTCATCAGCAGCTTCTTTAAGTAATTCCTTACCCTCTTCACGACTTTTTATACCGTCATGAAATCCTTCCCACAAATAACGACCCTTCCAACATTTTGCTGTTGTATTACCATTTTCTGCATGATATTCAAAACATTTCCACGCCTTTTGATAATCTCTTGCCCTATGAGCTTTTATACCTTCATCTAATGGAATTATTGGAACTACTGGATCAATAAAATCATCTAGTGGTTCAAAATCATCTGGTAATACAAATTCGTCGTTTGCTTTTGATCCATCTAAATCTAATGTATTTTCATCAAGCAAAGCTGGTATACTCTCATCAAACATATAACTGATGGAATTATATAATTCTTCTAGCATGTCCAATGCTTTCAAAAAAGAAATACGTTCTTGTGGATTATTCTTCCAAACTAGATATATAAAGAAGATAATGAAAGTATCCTTTAATTTTACTTGTATAATATAGGATTGCTGATGAAAACTTATACTTACTGTCATTTATAATTTTTTTATAATCTTCTTGGATTTTTTTAGGAGTAGAATCTCCAAATTTAATTCTTTCTCTGCCACCTTTAATTACAAAATCTCTAATTTTGTCTACTTCCAAACTTCTATATGGAATTTTTTCAAAAGCAAGTTCCCAAAGTAGAACACCAAAACTAAAAATTTCACATTGTGTCGTATATTTTGATTTATAGTTGATTAATTTCTCAGGAGCTAGCCAACGCACAGCATCATTAGTCGTCTCCTTTATTGTAGTGGTGTTCCCAAAGGCATAACGGGACAACTTAAAATTATAAATTTTAGGTTCCAAACTTTCTGTCATCAAGATATTTTCACATCTAAGGTCATGATGCAAAATTTCAGCTTTTTGTAAAAATATAAGCCCACGACATATTTTAAGAGAAATTTGGACCTTATAATGCCATTGAATATCCTTTTTTTCGTATAACTCTTTCAAAGTTCCACGATGAGCCCATTCAAAAACCCGAACATTATCATCGTCAATCTTTGAGACACCATAAAATCTAAGAATATGATTACATTCAGATAATTTTATTAAAATTTCAAGATGCCCTTGCACTTTTGCGGTCGTTGAAATTGATTTACATGCTACTTCTTGTCCCCTATAAATTCTTTTCACTACATAATTAGGATGTTTTCCACGTTTGTCATCAAATTTTCCTCGTAAAGGGAGTTCTAGATATTTTGAATCAATCCTATTTGCGCCATGAAATGTTTTATCGTAAAGATGTTTCTTAATATACTTTATTTCATCATAAATATTATCAACTTTGTCACCCATCGCTCTAAGATATTTGTCAAATTCGGCAAGATCTTTCGATAAAGCTTCTTCATCATTCTTTCTTCGTTCTTCATTAGCAACTACCAAAGTAAAATTTAAATCTTTCATTGCATTATCATAACCATCTGTAAGTCTCGTAAATTTTTCCTCAACGAAAGTTGCTTTTGTATATTTTCTAAAGCAGTGAATTTTCGAAATATCCTTTGTATATTCTTTGATTTCTTTTAAAACATATATAAATTTATGACAAGCATCATAATATGATTCATTACGTAATTCCTTTTCATTTTTTTGTTTTCTGAGTTGTAATGACTTCAAAGAAGCACGAGTTATTTTCACTCGTTCTGCTAGAACATCACAAATATTTCTGTTGTATTCTGCTGCTTCACAACTTTCTATAATTTCCATAATTAAGATTGAAGCTGTTTGAATTAAAGGAATATATGGACCTTTATCATCATCTATGGTAGTTAATGAAAGAATTGTTTTTCTGTACTTCTCTGCTTCTTCGAATTGTTTTCTAATTTCATAATGTTGTTTTGTACTAACTTTTATAACTCTTTTAAAATCTGATTCACCATCCAAATATGAATAACACAATAAATTAATTAATTCTTCTATTTCATTAACATTTGGTCTAATATCCGGATTTAAATCCAAGCACTTTTCCATTAAATCAATGTAACGTTTTGGTGCTTTTGGTCCAATTATTTCTGGTTTAATTCCATCACGAGGGTTGTTTCCAGTTACTACATAATACATAATCATACCAAAACTATATATATCTGCCGCTTGAGTGTAGGATTTTCCACTTAATACTTCAGGAGCTGTATAACGTATATCTCCATAAATTTTCGTCTCATCAGTATTTCCAACTTCTCCACATGATCCCATATTTGAAATAATTATATTAAAATTATCTACACTGTTCGTTGAAATTAACATATTTCCCGTATGAAAATCACGATGGATCATCTGTTTTTGATGGATTTCCTTAAGGCTTTGGATGATGTAAAATAATATGCGTATTTTATTTGGCCAATTAAAATCTTTATAATTATGATTCACCCAATCATTTAAATTTTCACCTGCTATACTTTCAAGAACCATAATATAATCTTTTGTTTTAGGATCTTGAGATATCCCATATATATTAAGGATGAAATTAGAATTCATTATTAAATATGCTTTAGCCTGTTAAGACATAAAATAATCATTATTGTGTTAAAAATGGTAACAAAAATTCGCAAAGTTTTATACCTCATTTAGAAATTCATCATTAATATCTTTCGAGTTATATAATGACTTTAAAGAGACTTCTTTATCTGATTGTCTAGTTAATTTCTTTTTAACAATACTGTAACTTAATGGGCCATCCTTCCATTTTGCTGAATAAATTGTCGAAAAATCATCTTTGATAATATCATAAAATTGGTTATATGGTATCCATTCAAATATTATATTACTCAAATCATTAATTTTTAATTGCGCCTCTCGAATAAAACGATCAATTTTTTCATTATTACTCGTCCAATTTGTGAAATTATTTTCTAAATCATTTACTTGACATAATTCACACCATTTATATTGTGCATCTACGTAATTATTATTACATTTTACACATTTTTCACAATATTCATACTGAAGAACCATAATATAATCTTTTGTATTAGGATTTTGAGATATTCCATATATCTTAAAATTATCATCAATATAATCGATTGAATATGTTGAAACCTATTAAAAAAAAAAATAAAAAGTGTTATCATTAGAATAAAAAAAAATAAAAAGAAAATTTAAATTTGGCAACGTAGCGCTATGACGCTGTTATGAATTTATTATTAAGCGGTTAGGATCAGGATTAAAATCTATGAAATTTTTACGGAGAATCGTTACTTGTCGCCCATTTATATATCATACCAGAACTATAGCGCCATGGTGCCAAATTACAAAACTCAAAAGAAAAATTACTCTAAAAAATTACTCAAATTCATAAATTTCATACCTCATTTAGAAAATCACTAGCCAGGTTTTGTGAATTATATAAACATTTTAAAGCAACTTTTTTATCTGATTCTCTCGTCCAACCAACCATATATTCATAATATAATGGACCATCTTTCCATATTGCTAAACATATTGTAGTAAGACCACCTTTGCCTATTTCATTAAACTGATCGTATGGTATCCATTCAAACACTATAGTACATGGATTATTAATTTTTAATTGCATTTTTTGAATATAATTATCAATTTCTTCATTTCCACTGAGGTGGATTGTAAAGTTTTTTTTTAAATAATTTATATGACATGAATTACACCATTTATATTCTGTATTCGAATATAATTTACCACATTTTTTACAACATTTTCCAAAATATTCATTATGAAGAACCATAATATAATCTTTCGTATCAGGATTTTGAGATATTCCGTATATTTTAAGAATATTATCTAAATTATTAATAGAATATGTTTTGATCTATTAAATTTAAAAATTATCAAATTATTATTAAATCTATATAATTAAAATAATCATAAAAAGAAAAAGATTACGTACCTCGCTTAATAATTCGTTAATATTATTTTGTGAGTTATGTAAACATTTTAAGACGACCTTTTTCTCAGATACTCTCGTTAATTCTTTTTTAAAATAACTATAACTTAATGGACCATTCTTCCATATTGCTGAATTTACTGTAACGAAATCACTTTTTCCTATTTCTTTGATATTATCAAATTGATCATATGGAATCCATTCAAATAATATATCATTTGGGTCATTGACTTTTAATCGTATTTCTTGAAACAAATCAACAATTTTTTCGTTCTCGTTCGTAAAAGTTTCTAAATATTTTGTTTGACATGTTTTACACCATTCATACTCTGCATTTAGAATATTTGTATATTGGCCCACACATTTTTCACATTTTCTATTATAATTTCGGGAAGACATTATACTTTTGAAGTTCTATTTTATAAAAAAAAATAATTTATCTGAAGATCGGAAAAATTATGGCCCGTAAAAAATATCTTGATATACCCGTGATACAAATGTACAAATATTTATGCAATTTATGTTACGCGGCGAAAAAAAAAAAAATTTCGTAAACGATTTTTTATAATTATGAACGAAAACTCAGTTGAAGATGGTCAAGAATCCAAAAACAAAGTGTTGGATAATGGAAAAATCGTAGAGTCAGTAGCAACAGAGGTTTTTGAAACCGAATCAAAAATTTTATCACTTATAGGAGAAGTTACCAAAAAATATGATGAAATGGTAGAAATAGGTCAAACGGTTGAACATAATAAAGAAATCCATGAGTTGTTAAGCAAAGTGGAAAAAGCTAACATGGCTTTTAGTAATTTGAGAATTCATAATAAAAAGAATACAAAATATTTTTCAGAGGAAAATTATACTAATTTACATAGATTAGTCGAAATTATTGATAAAATACGTGAATTTATTGCAGAAATTTCAAAAGGTTATAAAGCTGAAATTTTTAGAAATTTAAATAATGAATTTGATACTACCGTTCAACTTCTAAAGTTGGATTTAGAAGTACCATTTTCAAATTATTTGCCACGTATTAAAGAAGTGAATTTTTTACCACTAGTAAGAGAAGTTACCAATATATACAACGAAATAATAGAAGTTTATCAAACAGCTCAATATAATAAAAAAACATGTTGGTCGATGATGAAAAGAGTAGAAATAGCTGATATAGCATTAAGAAATTTAAGGGATAATAGAAGAGAAAATTCAAAATATTTTTCACAAGAAAACTATATCAATTTACGTAGATTAATTATTGTAATTGATAAAATACGTAAATTTATCACAGAAATTTCTCAATTGAAAGGTTATCAGAATTATATCCAATCTAGAAAAAATATTGAGGAAACTTTTGAAGATTTAAATAAAGAATTTAATTCTGTCGTTCATCTTTTGAAATTTTTTTCTTTACCTACTGATGTACCATTTTGTGTTGGAATGGAAACTGCGTCTAAAGTTGAAGTATTATTTACAAGTTTTTTACCACTTATAGGAGAAGTGAGCAAATTGCATAATGAAATAGATGAAATTTATAAGACGGCTCAATATAATAGAAAAACATGTGAAGCAATGTTAGAAAGAGTAAAAATAGCCGATACAGCTGTAAATAATTTAAAAATTCGAAATTTAGAATTTTTTTCAAAAAAAAATTTTATTAATTTCCGTAACTTAGTTACAGTTATTGGGGAAATACGCCAATTTCTTGCAGAAATTTCTCAATTAAAAGGTTCATATAGAAAATATGTTCGTGCTAAAGATGTTCAAGAAAAATTTAGTAACTTAAATGATGAATTTGAAACTGCTATTCGACTTCTGCGATTTTTTTTAATTATTGGTTTTAATGCGCGTGCCGACGATAAGAAGATTAAAGCTGATATTGAAGGGGTAAATTTTAACATATCCAAATTCTTTCATTTCTTTTAAAAAGATTACTTACTATTGCTCAAAAAAAAAAAAAATATTTATATATATAGGAATGGATTAGAAAGAAAATAAAAGATGAAGATATTCATTATTTTGAATATAGCGAATTTAATGACATTGAAGAAATTGGTAAAGGGGGGTTTGGTATCGTAAATAGTGCGGTAACTAATGATGGAATGCGAGTTGCACTTAAAAGCCTTATCGAAAAGAAAACTTCAAAAATCGAAGAGGATGATATTAAAAAGTTTGTAAATGAAGTAAGTAAATCAATTTCAGCATAGGAGGTTAACGTATTATATAAGTTAAAATTTAACATATTATGCTCATTTTATTCTTTATTCAGTTAAAACTTGTTCGTATGGTTCATTTTCATCCTAATATCAATCGTTTCCTTGGAATAGCAAAAGGTTTGCGATAAAGATTTAGTTGGATAATTAAATGATCTACATTTGAACTAATAATTAATTACGTTAATATTTAATGAATAGATGATATTGGGAATTATATTATGGTATTGGAATTTGCCAATGAAGGAAATTTAAGAGATTATTTGATGCGGAAGAAAAATTCATTAGAATGGAAGGATAAAGTTCATATGGCATTGGATATTACTTGTGGATTAAAATGTTTACACGCCCAAGATATAATCCATAGAGATTTGGTAATCCAATATTTATTTTTAAAATGCATTGTTTTAAGTGTTGTTTCTTTTAATAATATTAATAATTATCTTTATAGCACTCAAAAAACATATTAGTGAATAATGGTAGATTATTAATTGCAGACTTTGGATTATCTAAACAATTAATAGAAGTTACATCCAGCTCAGTGACTAATAGGACGGGAATGGTTGAATATATTGAACCACAATGTTATAGGAGCGTTAATTATATAAGAGATAAAAGATCCGATATTTATAGTTTAGGCGTTTTGTTTTGGGAAATTACAAGTGGTCGTCCTCCTTTTTTCAATCGGGATGACCCAAATTCCTTTGCATTATGTCATCACATTGGTATTGGCCATAGAGAAGATCCAATTGAAGGTACACCTTTAGAGTATCAACAACTTTATCAAAAATGTTGGGACGGTAATCCAGAGTTGAGACCTGACATTGATCAAGTTTATGAAGAAATTTTGAGTCAATTTAATGCTAACGATACTAACCATACCGATAAACAACATTTAGTAACACCTCATGATAATAATTATTCAAGTATACGATCAGGCCAGTCAGGGCTCTTTATAGATGACTTTATAGACGAAGTTTAAATAAATTGATTATATTAATTACTTATTCGAATAAAAATATTAAAATAAATATTTATTCATATATTATTAGTGAGAGTATCAACAATAATCAACTAATAAGATGGCGGGAAAAAAAATGATGTATTAATTACAATTGCACCAGCAGAAACATTTTAACGTGAAAAAAGATAATATAATATATATATAAAAAATCAATCATCATATAAATTGATTTAACTTATTAAATATGCAGAAATTCTTACGACAGAATAATTTTACTTCATTAGTAATAATATACGATTATTGATATATAAAAATTAAAAATTTTTCAAAAAAATTTTATTTATAAATAAATCAAATTTTTTTATTTATTATTTTTGTGCTTGAAGCCGACAATACACAATTATGATAACGTGTATTTTTTTCATTAAAATAGCTGTTGTCCCGGTTTTTCGTTTCATATTATATTGATATCTTAGAAAATATGAAACAAGAATGGACTGGCCAGATCTTGTTGTAAGGTTAACAATGATTTATTTTCTTTATATACTAAATGTTTGTAGCTATAAAAAATACATTACATATAATGAATCATTTATTTAATAGCTCGTAGAAATTTCGCGCTATCGTGTAATGTCTTTGCCAATTGCGCTAGCAGAAATGCTCGAAATTAATTATATAAAGGAGTAAAGGAGGAAATTTCCAAAAAAAAAAAAATAAACTTGCTATAAGGCTTTTAAAGTCTTAAATATTCACCTATATGATATGTTTGTTATTGAGTAAATAATTGTGTTACACTGTTATGATTGATTTATCTGATTTCAATATATGAATGAACCATTAGAATTTGATCCATTGTAAGAAAATATAAAAAAAATTGTAAAAGGAATGATAAAATAGTTTCTATAATTCAGGAAATTTTTTTATAAATTTAGTAATTTTATTATATAATATGTAATATAATTGTTCAATCAATTGCTTCATCACAAATATAAAAAAGTCAATTTTAAGAGAATTTTTAATAATAATAAATTTTATTCTTTTTTTTATTTTATAAACTGCTTATTTTTGCTTTTAGTTGGGCAATTCAGCTTCATTATCTTTTATTAGTATGCGTAACGCTTTATTAAAATTTGCGTCTTGTAAGTTGTAAACCGTTCAGGTAAATAAATTACATCACGTGACATGTACATGAAAACAACTACCCCAACGGCACCCAGAAAATTCTTCGAACTCGGCCGGCGTTATGCACTGACACGTGATCGAAGAATTTAGGATGTGATGAATAAAACGTGACAAATAGAATTTCATCTACTTGAAAAAATCTAAGTCCCTCAGATAAATATAAACAGTGAAATTCGGACAGGGTGTGACGATGTGAATAAAAACAGATCACGTGATCGAAGAATTTTTCTGGTGCTGTTGGGTTATATCATGAAAACGAACTTTACCTTCCAATTAGCTCGGGTTGGCTTCCGGCTCCTCCGGAAATCGATGGTAGGCTTAAGTTGGGTTGTATTACTTAGGTTTTATTACTTAGGAATCATGCTCATTTGAATATCCCCCGCCGGCTTCACATAAAATAAAATAAAATAAATAAAACGAACTTTACCTAGGGTGGTTTGCTAGCTACACGTGATTCGGAAACTGATTTCCAGTTACATTTAATTGCAAATCGATTATAAATCAATTTTTTTACCTTTTTACCTTTTCATCAATATCTCGTCAGACACGTCACTGTAAACCCCTTTCTTATCTTTCTTATTTCATTAATGTCAAACCATGAAAATAGAACTTGTAAAGGATGTCATGTTCGTCAAAGCTATGAAAATTTTCTAAATGATAAAGGTGTTGCTTTAAAAAAATGTTTGCACTGCTGAGATAAACTTAAAATTGCTCGTTTAAAAAAAAAGTACTGAACAATCTGACACAATAATTAATTATTCAGATATTACTGAAACTATATACAACCAATTTCTCTAAATGTTACTAATGAACATTATGATATGAAGGTGAAATGTGGAGTTAAATCTTGATCTTGATATTGAATTATCATCTTTTCTGCAATAACACTTATTTCGGAAGGTGATAGATACTCATGGGTTTATCGGAATAAAAGTAAAAAAAGACTCTCTTCATTGCAATTGTCAAATTGAGCTTGGAAAACGGCAAGTAAAGCATCCTATATTAGATAAACAAAGAGACACATCTACCTATTTAGAACAGTACGCTAGGGTGGTTATGAAAACGTAACACCAACAATTTTATAATTAAAAGCTTTTGTCCTATCGAGATCACGTTGGCGATGTAATCATCACGCCAAATATGTACTCAACGCCGATATAAGTCCTACGACAGGACCATTATGAACAAACCTTATCAAAAATCGACCGTCCTAAAAGTGTAAGAAGCAACCGTTTAGGTGTGGAATACACTATCATAATCGAACGTCTCGATACGAAGAACAAGAAAAAAATGGACATTTACCAATGGAGACAAGTCAGACAATCCGAAACCCTTCAATTTTTATAAAGTATACAAAAATTTTAAATTTGATATTGTTAGATCACAAGCTCAAATCTCAAGATGGAACCATATTTCTCGACTCCATTGAACGCGACCAAGAAATTCCCCCTGAACCCAATAGTTCACTGTCCAGTACCCGAAAATCGTTTGATTTTAATAAAAATTCAACACCTTCCCCTTAAAATCTTAGCCATCATCCTCCTTTATCACCTGAGCAGAAATTGGCAAAAAAACGTGAGAAAAACCGACGTAGACGACAATTGAAAATTGCTCGTCGGAAAGAAGAAGGACGCTTACGACAACAAACAACCGTGATCGTAAGAAAGACCCGGCATACATTCAAGAGAAAAAGACTAAATACCTTGAACGACGCGCCAAACGAGAAGCTAAAGAGCTGCTCGTGAACGACAAGAAGCCGGCACAGCACGTCGCTTTGCCAATGAGCAAAACAACAGGAAGCTATATTACAACGACAAAGCGCTACGTATTCAACAAATGAATACGATACACCTCAACGCACTCCGTCGGTTAAAGATGTCGATGAAGACCTAATGGCCGACCATACCAATGATCAGGACCTTTAACGTCGACATCAACTACTTCGTCATCAACACCACTATACCTTCAAATACTTTTTCCACAAGTATTTTAACAACACCCGTTACTAACATCAACGTTTTAGCGATGTTTATTCCAACATGCAATCCAGGTACGAATTTCTCCTCAACAAGAAAGACGCTAAATTTCTTTCACGCAACAACGTTTTTATCAAGCGCTCTCCACCAACGAGTGAGAGCACTAATAACCGCAAACACTCAGATCCAGAGGTAGAAGGTCGGTTTCATCGTTGATCTTCGCTTTTAAGAGGACGAGTGGTTACCAGCTCCCTTCTCCCCTCCATGAATAGACCACCTTTCATTAGGACAATACCATTGTCTTCTACCAATGGTAGACTGGTATGGCTGAGTCATTTGAAACGGTCAATGACTTGGTTCCTAGTTATTCCTGCGGCGAAGTCCACTTGGAACGTTGCCAGATGGTCCAAGAGGTCCTGTAAGATGCATCCTGGTACCCGTATGGGACATAAAGATGTCAGTGGGGGCATCTACCACCTATGGTGGTCTACCAGTTTGTATGAAGCCTTAGATACATTGCGGTCGATCTTAACCTAAGGCGTTGTAGACTGGAAGCCTAGACAACCAGTAGGTTAGGATGGTAGATATAAGGTGGTACCAGTAATATACTGGGCCACCCTATATCTCAACGAAGGGTGATCTCCTTTGAGGGGAACGCGTCTGTTAACTTTAGTTAGTTTTTCTTTACTATGTAATTTTTACCTCTAGTGGTTCTTCTACACAAAGTTAGTTCAGATCTCATCCTAATAAAATAAAATAAAAATTTTACTCCAGCGTGACCGGTGACATTTAAAGGATGTGAAAAAAATAATTTGGGGAGGTAAAATTGCAAAAAAATCCCTCAGATAAAGAAAACTCGGTGGGCGTGATGCCGGTGATGAATCATTTAGGTCACATGGGGTAGAAAATTTGTGGGAAGTGATGAAAACGTAAACTAGATGCAAGGTCTAATTGGTCGATAAGTATATCTGAAATGCTTAGACATACGCTACGCTTCGGACAATAAAAGCACGTTCATATATAAAAACAAATATTATCTACAATTCTATACTCAATATAAAACATTAGATAGGTAAAAAGAAATACATCGTAGTGAAAAATGGCTCATATAAATTATTCCTTGTCTCTAAACTCTAGTCCTCCAACCATTCTTCTCCACTTCTCTTTCTTTGCCATTTCGCCTTCTCTTCTCTTCTCCCTTCTTGATAAATTTTGTTTTCACTTTTCTTTTGTTTCCACTCCCAGAACTTCACGCATCATTTTCGCAAATTTCTCCGCAAAGCCCTTTCCGTCCGACTACCAAATGTTGGTTTTATATAATCATCTTTATCATATTATATGATTTAGGATTACTTATTCCGTTTTCCGTACTAATGATGTGCGATTAAATTAGATGGGTAATGTTAAAAAAAAGCTGATATGGCTTAAAATTAAGAACGAGAAAAAAAGAAGAAAAAAATATTTATACTTTGGATCATTATACAGTTGCTGCGGACTTAACAATGGTTTCCGTTCTCTGGTGTATAACAATTTCTTTGGCTCTGTTCTTAAAATAAAAAAAAAATTATCACTATTGCTAACCTTAAAAGACTTGTTAAGAAAGCATCATTATTTTATATATATGTATCTTATTATGCTCTCACGTGTACTTACTTTTTCAAGTTTGACAAACAATCTTTTCGTACCATTACTAATTAATTAAATTAGCACTATTCCCAAGTCTGTTACAGCATTAATCAAATTGCTCAAGTGTTTCTACTATTACTATAACTTCCCATGGTATTTCCATGTTGATAGGCCTTAGGATTCAACATTATGAGTCGAATTTATGATTACTGTCACTAATAATCCAGGAGATTAATCTCACCCCTTGCCACAACTCTTCAGTTCTTCTTTCAAACCGGACCTATTGCCCAATACTTTCGTACTATCTTTAACTTCCTTGTTAGACAATATACTTACATAATTACATTCATTACCTTACTGTAAATTTAAACATGGAAAAAAAAAGGAGAGGGAATTGAAGGTGGTCCCGACATTCAAAGATCAGTTAACTATCTTTTAACATCCTCAGGAACTCCTTGAGCCTTTATTGTGCAGCCTCTATCTTTAGATTCCACCTTAGACTCACCACGAACGAAAATTATTGATGTAACGCGTTTGGTGTTAACCTTCACACTCTTTAGTTTAAATACATTGTCCCACGACTTATCACATAATCGTTGCCAACTATGCAAGTCGTCGTAAGCTTATGGAGATTTACTTCCATAATGGTATTGCATCTGATAGCTTTACAAGTCATGCTTTTAAGTAAACAGTCGCTTAGTATCCGCATGAGTCGATAGTTATGATAATGAGGCTAATTATTAAAGTTCAGAGATAATTGCAAATTTGCAATACATTTTGATTTTTGGATAGTGATTCGGAGTGAGGATACCGATGCGGAATAGACTCTTTAATAACGTCTTACAATAATTTTCCTTCCAAGTTTATAGGCAGTTAACTAATCTAGTCAGTAAAATTTCATTCATTACGTAAGTAAATATGAAACAGAATCTGTGATGACACATTTATAATTCCATTATAATGGTGAAAATCTGATTGTATGCAAACTTTTATTGGCGAGAACATACTAGTTGGGCCGGATCAATTAAAAAGTTTTAATCAATTTTATTAGTCATGTGACTGTTAGACAACTTGTTATGGGTTTATATTTCAATTAATCAAAAATTTTGATTTTTTGATTTTTTTTCTCCGTCTTATGTTATTTTAAATAAATCTTTTATCCTTATTCCAATTTCATTAATGCTGTTTACAAAAAATAATTTTTCTTTAAATCATTTTTCAATTTTTGCCATTAAATTGCCATAATGTTGTGAAGCCTTATGTTTGAGAAGTATGAGAACCATAATAAATATGTCTGCAGTTGAATTATCGAATTTCCCATTCACACTTGGTTTTAACGATTCATACTTTACATATATTGTTCACCATTTTTTTCACTGAAGATATGACATTTTGCTTTGAAGTTTCTTAATAATTTAAATTCCGGAAAAATTAGTATGATGTAGTAAAAGTTTTTATCTTGCAAACTATATTGGGAATATCAAAGTTATTGCTCGAGATTATATACTCGAATTTTACTAATTAATTTTTAACATTTTGAACTTTAAGACGAAGCAGTTGAACAAAATAATAATAATAATAATAAAAATAATAATAATAAATAAAAAATTATGAATAAGTTTTTTATTTAAATATCTTTATAATAACAATAAATTTAATAACTAATATCAACCATACCCAACTTTTCTCATGAACAGCACATGACGCATTTAGACAGGAATTAGCTTTAATTTGTTTCAGCATACGTTTTAATATTCCTCTTCGGGGTTGCAATTCCTTATAGTTTGATATTGATCAAAAGACTTATTATTTGTGATTGTGAGTTCCATAATATTTTCATGACGAGAATATAAAGAATGGATAGGTTTGTAAAAGAACTTTTATGTTAACCAGAGCATTAGATTAGTATAACCTATTCAATAATTACTATTCCTGATGCTTCTAGTAATTTAATCGCATTGTTGTTATTTTGTAAAGCAGCCTTTCTTAACCATTTAATTCCCCTATTTTCGTCCTTTGGAATATTCAATTTTCCTTTATAATATATATCACCCAAATTATATTGTGCAATATCATTATTTCCTTCGGCAGCTTTAGTGAGATAATCTATAAATGTGTTTATGTTATCATCTTCACTCAGAACCTTATTAAAAGTAAAAGCATAGCATAATTGAGCGTCAGAATTTCCTTTATCGGCAGCTTCTTTAAGTAATTCTCTACCCTCTTCACGTTCTTTTATACCATCATGAAGTCCTTCCCATAAATAATGACCCTTCCAAAATTTTGCTACGATATTCTCATTTGCCGCGTGATATTCAAAATAATTCCATGCTTTTTGATGGTCACCTGCCCTATAAGCTAATATACCTTCGTCTAACGCTGATAATACTAAATCATCGTCGCTTGCTTTTGATCCATCTAAATCTGACGCATTTTTATCAATTAAAGCTGACACAAAAGTATGTCTGAGGGAATCATTTAATCCATCTAGCATGTCCAATGCTTCCAAAAAAGAGATACGTTCTTGTGGGTCTTGCTTCCAAGCTAACAAAAAAAAATTAATGATGTTTACTTACAATTATGCACTCCTTTAGTAATTATAAAAATTGAAGAAACGTGTATAATTACCGCCACTTATAATTCTTTTATAATCTTCTTGGAGTTTAGAAATTTCAGGAGTAGAATCTCCAAATTTAATTATTTCCCTACCACCTTTAATCACAAAGTCTCTAATTTCGTCTACTTTCAAACTTCTGTACGGAATTTTCTCAAAAGCAAGTTCCCAAAGTAGAATACCAAAACTAAACATTTCACATTGTGCCGTATATCTTGACTTGAAGCCGATTAATTTTTCAGGAGCTAACCAACGCACGGCTTCATTATCTTCTTCCTTCAACGTAGTGGTGTTCCCACTATAATAACGCGCCAACTTAAAATTATAAATTTTAGGTTCTAAACTTTCTGTCATCAAGATATTTTCACATCTAAGGTCATGATGTAAAATTTCAGCTTTTTGTAAAAATATAAGCCCACGACAAATGTTAAGAGCAATTTGAGCCTTATAATGCCATTGAATATCCTTTGTTTCGTATAGTTCTTTCAAAGTTCCACGATGTGCCCATTCAAAAACCCATATATTAATATCATCAATTTTTGATACACCATAAAATCTAAGTATATGTTTACACTCAGATATCTTCGTTAAAATTTCAAGTTGCCTTTGCACCTTTGTATCTTCTTCGGTCGTTGAATTTGATTTACATGCTACTTCCTGTCCATTAAGAATTCTTCTCATTACAACATTAGGATATTTTCCACGTGTGTCATTGGGCTTTCCTTGTACAGGAAGTATTAGATCTCTTGAATCAATCTTATTTGTTTGAAAAGTTTTAGTGTCAATATGTTTCTTAATTAATTCTTCATAAAATGTGCCGCCTACCGCTTCAAGAAATTTATCAAATTCGCCAAGATCCGATAAAGCTTCATCATCATCTCTTCTTCGCTCTTCATTATCAACTATCACATCAAAATGTAAATCTTTCATTGCATTATCATATTTTTCTGTAAGACTTATAAAATTTTCTTTAATATAAGTTGTTTTTACATATTTTTCAAGACCGCGAATTCGTGAAACATTCTCAGTAAATTTTTCTATTTCTTCTAAAACACAAATAAATTTATAAAAAGCATTATAATATAATTCATTACGTAATTCCTTTTCATTTTTTTTTTTTTTAACTTTAAATACCTCCATAGAAACACGAGTTATTTCCGCTCGTTCTGCTAGAGCAAAGCAGACTTTTTTGTTACATTCTGCCTTTTCATAATTTTTTATTATTTTCGTAATTAAACTTGAAGCCTCAAGAATTAAGGGAATATATGGAATTATAGCATCACTTACAGTAGTAGTTAATTGGATATCTTTAATTAATAAAAGATTTGCTTTTCTGTACTCTTCTGCTTCTTTGAATTGTTTTTTAATTTCATAATATTGTTCTTTATTAATTGCTACATCTCCTTTAAAATCTGATTTACTATCACAACATGAATTAAATAAATTAATCGATTCCTCTATTTCACTGACAATTGGCCTATTGTCCGGATTTGAATCCAAACACTTCCCCATTAAATCAATATAACATTTTGGTGCTTCTTTTTCATTCATTTCTGGTTTAATTTTATCACGAGGGTAATTTCCAGTTACTATAAAATACATAATCATACCAAAGCTATATATATCTGCTGCTTGGGTATAAGGAATTTCACTTGATACTTCAGGAGCTGTGTAATGCATAGTTCTATAAACTTTTGTATCAATATTCCCAACTTCTCCACATGATTCCATGTTTGAAATAAATACTTTAAATTCATCCACATTGTTCGTTGAAATTAACATATTTCCTGTATGAAAATCACGGTGAACCATCTGTCTCTGATGAATTTCTTTAAGAATTTGAATAATGCAAAATAATATGCGTATTTTATTCGACCAGTTAAAATTTTTATAATTTTTATACATCCAATCATTAAAATTTTCGCCTTCTACATTTTCAAGGACGATAAAATAATCTTTTGTATCAGAATCTTGAGATATTCCATATATATTAATAATAAAACTAAACTTCATTTTTAAATATGCTTTAACCTAACAGAAACAAACCATAATTAATATATTAAAAAAAATATACATAAGACTCAGAAATTTCATACCTCATTTAGGAATTCGGTATTAACTGGTATGTTATGATAATATTTCAAAGCAACTTTTTTATCGGATTTTCTTATCCATTCACGATCATAATAACATAATGGACCATCCTTCCATATTGCTGAATATATCATATCGAAATCACTTTTGCTTATTTCTCCTTTTTTATAAAGTTGATCATATGGTATCCATTCAAATACTATCTTACTTGGGTCATTGATTTTTAATTGAGTTTCTTGAATCAAATTATCAATTTTTTCATTTCCGCTGGTCCACTTTGTAAAATTTTCTTCAAAATATTTTATTTGACATAATCTACACCATTCATATTTCGCTTTTAAATCATTTATATTTGGATTACCGCATTTTTCACACTCTTTGTATGGAAAAACCATCATATAATCTCCTGTATCAGGTCTTTGAGATATTCCATATATTTTAAGAATATCATTTAAATATTTAGTTGAATATATTTTAACCTATTAAAACGTAAAAAAAAATCGTTATTAGAGTAAATTAAAAGAATATTTATGTCCATAAAGAATTTCGTACCTCATTTAGGAATTCACTAATATTATTTTTTGAATTATGATAAGATTTTATAGCAACTTTGTTATCTGATTCTCTTTTTAAATCCTTTCTAATGGGACTATAAATTAATGGTCCATCCTTCCATATTGCTGAATATACAGCCGCAACATCATCTTTGACTTTATTTTTGACTATTTGTTCTACGTTATAAAATTGATCGAATGGAATCCATTCAAATATTATATCGCTTAGATCGTCTATCTTTAGTTGCATTTCTTGAATAAAACCATTGATTACTTCATTCCCACTGGTCCAATTCATAAAATCTTCCTTAAAATGATTCATTTGACATAGTTTGCACCACTTGTGCTGTGCGTCTACATATTTTCCACATTTTACACATTTTTCACAATATTCATTTTGAAGAACCATAATATAATCTTTCGTATCGGGATTTTGAGATATTCCATATATCTTAAAATTATTATCAAAATAATCGATTGAATATGTAGTAACCTATTAAGCAAAAAAAAAAAAAAAAAAAAAATATTTTTATTATAATAAGAAGAAATTATAATTTGGCATCATGAAGCCATAGTACTAGTAGATACTATGCCACAGGATTAAGACTCACACCCGTCCTTCCGTCCTTAGATATTATATTAGAGACTTAAAAGTTTTTCTTTATGTTTACACCACTCATAATATAAATGGTGACATGATGCCAAATTATAGAATTCAAAGAAAAGAGCATAAGTTTTATACCTCGTTTAGGAAATCACTAGTCAAATTTTGTGAATTATCTAAACATTTTAAAGCGACTTTTTTATCTAATTCTCTTGCCCAACCAACCATATATTCGTAATATAACGGACCATCTTTCCATTTTGCAAAATATACCGTAGTAAAACCGCTTTTGCTTATTTCATTAATTTCGACGAACTGATTGTATGGTATCCATTCAAACACTATAGTACGTGGATTATTAATTTTTAATTGCATTTCTTGAATGTAATTATCGATTTCTTTATTTTCACTGAGATGGGTTGTGAAGTTTTTGTTTAAATAATTTACATGGCATGAATTACACCATTTAAATTCTATATTTGTATATAATTGCCCACATTTTTTACAACATTTTTCAAAATATTCATTATGAAGAACCATAATATAATTTTTCGTATCAAGATTTTGAGATATTCCGTATATTTTAAGAATATTATTTAAATTATTAATAGAATATGTTTTGATCTATTAAATTTAAAAATTATTAAATTATAATTAAATCTATATAATTAAAAAAATTATCAAAAATAACTATAAAAAGAAAAAAGATTACGTACCTCGCTTAATAATTCGTTAATATTATTTTGTGAGTTATTATGTAAACATTTTAAGGCGACCTTTTTCTCAGATATTCTCGTTAATTCTTTTTTAAAATAACTATAACTTAATGGACCATTATTCCATATCGCTGAATATACTGTAGCAATATCGCCTTTACTTATTTCTTCGATGCCATCAAATTGATCATATGGAATCCATTCAAATACTATATCATTTGGATCATTGATTTTTGATTGAATTTCTTGAATTAAATCGTCAATTTTTTCGTTCCCGCTTGCAGAGTCTCCTAAATATTTTGTTTGACATGATTTGCACCATTCATATTCTGCATTTAGATCATTCGTATATTGTTCATCACATATTTTGCACTTTCTATCATAGTTTTTTGAGGACATTATGGTTTTGAAGTTTTCCAACTATAAAAAAAAAACTTCCAAAAGTCCAATTTGCAGATCGAGAGCATGATACGATTGATACGTCCAGGTGAGTCACAAGAATTTATGCAGTTTCAGCTGCAGTTTCACAAAAAAAAAAAATTTTTTTTTTTCTTAACGAAATGTTAGTCAAATAATGGCGAGACATTGTTAAGTTAACAGCAACAGGACTGAGAAATAAACAGAATCAGATCAAAATTCTATCACTTGTAAAAGTTGTAGAAGTAATCAAAAACGTCAAATGACTGAGCATAATAAAGATTTCCATGAGTTACCGTTAAGTAGATTAAAAAAAAAGTTGAGTATTTATAATACCAGTTTATGAAAATTGAATAATTAATTTGATAATATTGCTTAACTTACTGGATTTGAATTTAGAGAAACTATTTTCAAATTTTTGTAATGTAAAAAAAACGCACTAATATAATTAATGAAAGTTTTAGGGAATATTGGTGTGAAGAATGCGTACAACAACAACCATCCCCTAATAAAGGTATAGCTATGTTATATTATATTGAGAAATCGGAAAATTCATACGCGCAACTTGATCAGGAAGGATATTGCACTGACGAAGAAAGAAATGAAATTGGAAGTCGCCGGACTAGAGGATTTTTAATTTTCTCAAGTTTGATCATAATCAAGTCCGCTCAAACAGCTTAATATAAAAAAAAAAAAATTTTTGGTCTGTGATGTATGGCAAGCGGTAGTGATGGAGAGTAGAAATATCTGACGTGGTCTTTAAAAATTTGGGAGATAATAAAAAGAAAAATCAAAAATATTTTTCAAGTGAAGATTATATCAATTTACTTTGATTTAATTATTATTATTAATAAACACGTGAAAGAATTTTTCGATTAAAAGGTTCATATGTTCAGGTTAAAGGTGTTCAAAAAAAATTTAGTAACTTTAATTTTAATTATAAACTGCCATTCAATTCCTGCAAATTTTTTTTAATGGGCATGTCGATGATGAAAAGATTAAAGCTGATATCGAAGAGGTAAATTTCAACATCACCATCATTTCTTTTTAAAAATTACTTATTATTACTCAAAATTAGGAATGGTTTAAAAGATGAAGCCATTCATTATTTGAATATAACGAATTTAATGACATTGAAGAAATCGGTAAAGGAAATGTGATATTGTAAATAGGGCGGTAATCAATAATAGAATTCAATTTGCGTTTAAAAGACTTATCGATAAGAGAACTTTAAAGATCGAAGAGGATGATAAAAAAAAGATTGTAAATGAGGTAAGAAATTTATTTAAATAAATTTTAGCGTAAGGAGTGACATTATATTAAATTACAATTTTAATCTATTATAACCATTATTCTTTACTTAGTTAAATCTTGTTCGTATGGTTGTTTTCATCAAAATGTCAATAGTTTTCTTGAATCTCCATTTTTCATTCATCAATAATCTTTTAAATTACCTTCGTTGACATATTCTAATACTTTAGTATAATTCTTAATATCATCTATTCATTTAAATATAATTGATTTAATAAGGTATTAATTATAAAAAATTTCAACACAAATAAAAGGATAAGATTTGTAAACCAATAATTTATTTTTATAATACGCTGTTTAAAGTATTGTTTCTTTTTAATTGCAAACTTTGGATATATATCAGATATCTGAGTATATATTTACCATAATGTTATAATAAAATAAATCTGATATTTATAGTTTAGATGTTTTACTTTGGAAATTACAAGCGGACGTCACCAAAGTACCTTTGCATTATGTCATCACGTTGGTGATGGCCATAGAGAAAAACCTATTGAAGGGTATCAACAACTTTTATTAATAATGTTTCGTCCGAGCCAAGATCTGACATTAATCAAGTTTTATGATGAAATTATAAGTTTAATCAACGAACAAAGGTTTCTTATACAAGTGACTGTACAGACTAAAACAATTAAGTTTTAAATAAGTTGGTCATATTAATAATTTATATATATTTACTAAATTTTTTTAAATTTTTAAATATTCAAATATTACTATTAGCGAGAGTTTGATGTATCATAAATTGACTACATTAATTAGTAGAAAATTTTACGGTGGGTATAGTTTATTGATTTCAAAAGTAATATTGTGATTTTGATGTATAAAAGTTCATAAAGTTTTTATCTATAAATAAATTACACACATTTTTTTTATATTTATTATTTTCTTAATTGAATCCAATAATACCATAACGGCATAACCTGTATTTTCTTCAAAATATACTTTGTTTTGGATGATGAAGCAACATGAAACCGGTTTAATTGCTTGGAATGGAATTCTCTTTGTTGCATTTTGTTTCTTCAATCCATCTAATTAATTTTCTGTATATTTCTTATATTTATCAAACGTATTTTATATACTTTTTTAATCGGAACCGACGGTTAAGTATGAAGCTATTTATCATATACTGTTGCTATTTGGTAGAAAAAAAATCAAACCTTGATAAATATAGATAAGATTTTAAATTTGTAAAATACTAGAAAATTACTACAGTGACACCTCTCTAAGTGCACCCTCCTTGGGACCATAGTAAAAAAATAGTAGAATGTGCACTTAGAGAGGGTGTGCATTTATAGAGAGTAAAATATTAAGAGCTCTTATAAGTTGGGAAAAGAACCACCGTGCACTTAAAGAGAATTTATATAGTGCGTGCACTTATAGAGGGTGCACTTATAGAGGTGTCACTGTACTAGTTTATATTGTAAATAATTTCTTCGTAACTTTATAGTCAACTATTACCAAAACAATTGATTTGTTCGATTTGGTCATCTAATAAAATAACATTTAATTTTAGATAAAATTACTCACAGATCACACTAATGTTACTTTTTGGCGAACAAAATTTTTTTTATTCAGTTAACGTTAATCACGTTTTTTTCATTATAATACTGTTCGATCGTACCATTGTTAAAAATTTTTCTTAATAAAGATAAAGTAATTCTCATTCTCAATTACAACACAATAATAAATATACCATAATGTTAATTTTAGTTGTTACAATTGTTAAAAGCTATAATAAAGTTTAAATGTTAGTTTGTTAAAACTTTATTTTAAAGTTAAAATTTTGTATACAATACGTATCCGATAACAATACATTCCAAAATTGGTTTCATTATATATAATAAGAAATTTTTAAAATGAAAAGTCCATTTCAACATTGTTTTAATTATAATTCTGTTAAAATCCATTAGTAAAAAATTTTATAGTTGGGATTAATTTTAAAGCAAAACATTATTTTACTCATATTATTGCGGTTACAAGAAAAAATGGAATACTAAAAGTTACAATTTACAGTACTGCTTTTATTGATCAGTATAAATTTTATTTATATAAATTAAGAATTTATCAGATACATATATAAAATAAAAATAAACGACGTAATTCAATCTTCTTCAGCGTTTGAATTTGGTCTGCAAAAAAGATTTAATATCAGACATAATTCTAGTAGTAACTTACTGTGTTAAATCGATTTTTACTGAAATAACTGAATTAACTGAATCATATCCTTTTTCGTCAAAAGTTTTTAATCAGAGACTACAAAATAGTTTAAATTTTATTAATCTTTTTAATTAAAAACAAAAAAATAACCAAATAAGCAAATATATAAATAAATGTAAACAAACTCTGTAAAATCAATAATTTCTGCTGTTCCTACTGATGATGATGAAGAAATACTTATATTATCATCATCATATTTTGGAAGAGCGTTCATTTCAAGATTTGCTTTTCTGTATTCTTCTGCTTCTTTAAATTGCTTTTTAATTTCTTCACTTTCTTCTAATTTAAATGTGCAAATCAATTCTTCTATCTCAATAGCACTTGGTCTTTTATCTGGATCTGGATCCCAACACACCTTCATTAAGTCAATATAACATTTTGGTGCTATTTTCTCGTTAACTTCAGGTCTAATCCCATTACATATATTTAATGCTAGAACCGAATCGTGAGCATAATTGGCAAAAGGTTCTCTTCCTGACGCTATAACATACATAATCATACCAAAACTATATATATCTGCTGCTTGTTTATAAGGTTTACCTCTTAATACCTCAGGAGCTACATAAGGCATAAGTCCATAAATTTTAGTTTTGTCTATATTACTAACTTCTCCACATAATTCCATACTTGAAATATATACATTGAAATTCCGTACATTATTTGTTGAAATTAATAAATTTCCTGTATGAAGATCACGGTGAACCATCTGCTTTTGATGAATTTCTTTAAGGCCTTGAATAACATCGAGTAATGCTTTTAATTTAAGTGACCAACTGAATTCCTTATAATTATCATTAAGCCAACCATAAAGACTTCCACCTTCTGCATAGTAAAAAATCAATATATAATTTCCTGTATTTAGATCTTGAGATATTCCATATATATCGATAATAAATCTAGTATTTAATTTTAAATATGCTTTAACCTATAAAAACATAAAAACGTAAAAATATTAGATAAATTAAAAAATTAAAAAAGGTGTAAATTCTAAAATTCATCATGAAATTACATACCTCATTCAGAAACTCATTGGTGATGTTCTGAGAGTTATGCAAACATTTTAGGGCAACTTTTTTATTGGGATTTCTTATCCATTCCTTTTTATCGTAAAGGTAGTATAATGGACCATCCTTCCATATTGCCGAATATACTGTAGAAAAACCACCTTTTCCTATTTCTTTAATTTCATTAAATTGATTATATGGTATCCATTCAAATACTATACCATTTGGATTATCAATTTTTAATTGAGTTTCTTGAATTAAACCATCAATTTTTTCATTTCCACTGGTCCACTTTGTAAAATTTTCTTTTAAATAATTTATTTGACATCGTTTACACCATTCATATTTCGCATTTAAATCATCTATATATTGTCTATCACATTTTTCACAATGTTCACTTGGAAAAACCATAATGTAATCATTTGTATAAGGATTTTGAGATATTCCATATATTTTAAGGATGTTATTTAAATAATTAATTGAATATTTTTTAACCTATGAAAACGTAAAAACTAATATTAGATACAGCTAAAAAGTAATTATACTAGCTAATTCATAAAATATTTACCTCATCAACAAATTCGTTAGTAATAGTTTTTGAGTTATAATACGGTTTTAAAGCGACTTTTTTATCTGATACTCTTGTTAATTCTTTTTTAACATAACTGTAACTTAATGGACCATCTTTCCATATTGCTGAATAAATCGTGAAATAATCACTTCTTATTTCTTTAACATCATTAAATTGATTATATGGTATCCATTCGAATACTATATTACTTAAATTGTTAATTTTTAATTGCATCTCTTGAATAAAATTATCAATCTTTTCGTCTTTACTGGTCCAATTTGTGAAATTATTTCTTAAATCATTTATTTGACATAGATTACACCATTTATATAATGTATCTATATATTTTATACCACATTTTACACACTTTTCACAATATTCGTTTTGGAGAACCATAATATAATCGCTTGTATTAGGATTTTGAGATATCCCATATATTTTAAAATTATTATCATAATAATCAATTGAATATGGTTTAACCTATTAGTAAGTAAATAAAAAATTATTATGAAGCTAAGAAAAGGTACATAGAATAAATTATAGATAATTCATACCTCATTTAGAAATTCATTAGTCGAATCATGTAGATTCTCAAAACGTTTTAAAATAACTTTTTTATTTGGTTCTCTCGCCCAACCAGTCATATATTCATAATACAATGGACCATCCTTCCATATTGCTAAATAGATTGTAGCGAAACCACCTTTGCTTATCTCATTAATTTCGTCAAATTGATCGTATGGTATCCATTCAAACACAATAGTACATGGATTATTAATTTTTAATTGCATTTCTTGAATATAACTATCAATTTCTTCATTTTCACTGATACGGGTTGTAAAATTTTCTTTTAAATAATCCACATGACATGAATTACACCATTTATATTCTGTACTAGAATATAATTTACCACATTTTTTACAACATTTTTCAAAATATTCATCATGAAGAACCATAATATAATCTTTCGTATCAGGAGTTTGGGATATTCCGTATATTTTAAGGGCATTATTCAAATAATTGATTGAATATGTTCTAACCTATCGAAATTTAAAAACAACTATTATTAAATAAGATTAAAAAAAACTAATTAAATAATCGTAAAAAAAAAAAATTTACATGCCTCATTTAAAAATACGTTAATGATATTTTGAGAGTTGTTATGTAAACATTTTAAAATAACTTTTTTATTCGATACTTTCGTTAATTCTTTTTTAAAATAACTATAATGAGATGGGCCATCCTTCCATATTGCTGAATATACTGTAGTAAAATCATTTGTTCCTACTTCTTCAACATCATCAAACTGATTGTATGGAATCCATCCAAATAATATATCATTCGGATCATTGATTTTTGATTGAATTTCTTGAATTAATACATCAATTTTTTCGTTTCCACTTGTAAAGTTTTCTAAATATTTTACTTGACATATTTTGCACCATTCATACTCTGCGTTTAAATCATTTGTGTATTGTTCATCACATTCTTTGCACTTTCTGTCATAGTTTTTGGAGGACATTATGATTTGAAGTTTCTCAATTACGAATTCCGTTATATTTATTTATAAGAAAATAAATTGTAAAACTCACACTGCAGATCGGAAAAATTATGGCCCGAAAAAAAAAATATGGCGCGTCAGGTTTGTTACACGAATAATATTAGAAGTTCCACAAAATTTAAAATTAGAAATTTAAAATACATAACCGCCGATCTGCAGAATGCATGTGATAATTTTTGGGTCTCAGTCATGCAGTCCAGTGATTCGCTTAGTAGTCCGATTGTTGATCTAACACGAATTTTGTTTTTTTTGTTATTTGCTTTATAATAAGAGTTATTAAAAAAAAAAATTTAATTTAATGAGATAATGGTTGTAGTAGAATTTGTAATAAGCTAATGCAAAATGTATTCATAGATATAGTATACATCACTAGGAACCTCTTACTACAATAAATTAAGATGCAAGCATTCCATTAAAAATACTACTTACATGAGCTGCTTATAAAATTCTTCGTTTTATTGTATAAAAATATTTATTTAAGTTTACAACTAATTTTAATTTGTTAATTGTAAAGTTTTAATAAATATTTAAATATAAGAAAAAAAATAAAATGTAGATCAGTCACGTAAATTTTGTTCACAGTTAACTCAGTCCGATGGTATCGAAGTCCAATTCGGTCTGCATGACTGTTCTAAAAATTATTACCGGACTCAAAAGATCATCAGACCGGACACCGTAGGGTATAACTTGGGTTTTTATATATTATCAGTTATGCATTCTACAGATCGGCGATCGGCGGATATGATTTTTTTTTTCTTAACGTTACAGCTGTTTTCATAAGACCTGGGACAAAATAAATTTTTGAACCCGACCGCCGACCCACCGATCCGGTTCAGTTGTTATTTATTTTACAAATCAAACTATCAAATCAGGATCGCGTGCCCAGCTAAAAATACCGGATCGGCGGATCGGCGGATCGGGTTCAAAAATTCAGGTCTTATGAAAACAGCTGTAAATAAAAAAAAAAATAATAATTTACATTCGTAACTAATTACGATTATCGATGAAATAAATATGTCAATTCTTGCAGCAATTTCTCAATTATTAAAAGGTTCCTGTATAAGCATAACATTTTTTTTTTTTGCTTATTTACGTCAATACGTGACAATGATAAGGAAATAATTTCAACAATTTTTTCTAGGAATGGATCAAGTGAAATAGAAGACGAAAGACATTAATTATTTTGAATATAACGAATTTTAGCGAATTTAAAAAAAAATTGGAGAATTTAGTGTTGTCAATAAAGCAGAAACTAATGATAAAAATAAGTTCTCATCAAAAAGAAGGTAAGAATTGGAATTAAATTCTTTATAGTTTATTGTGTGTATGAAATAAAAAATTAATGTAATCCTTTCTTTCATTAAAATTTTCGAAGGATAGTTTTCACTATAATATTATTAGTTTTCTTGGAATATCAAAAAGGTTGCGTTAAGATTGTAAAAAAATAGAATAAATAAATTTCTATCTAGAATGCATAGATAAGGAATTTAGTAGCTTATTCGAAGAAAAGTTGAAAAAATTTAAGAAAGAAAAATTCATTAGAGAAAGAATAAGTTCAAATGAGATTGAATGTGAGTTAGTTATTTAAAAAACATAATCATAGACTTCATAAAATCAGCAAATTTATTTGATATATATTTTGATTAAATTCTCCGCTATCTTATAAATAAGGATGCTAAATTACATCCAAAAAGAACGTCAACGCCAGGACGCATACGAAAAATTTTGAGAGAACATCACCAACTAAATGATCAACTGAAAAAAAATAGTCAACCCGTTAAACATATCAACTACTATCCAAAATATTTCAAAAATAAACGTTATAGAAAGTCCTTACAAAACGCCACTTCAATTCAATAAACGTCAGTGCATTCGTCTCAAATGAATAAACGCAGTAATCATTCACATTCCATACAACATACATCAAATCAAGAAAATAATAAAAATATTTCTAATTCAACTTCTCCACCGGTTACCTAGAATAAACAAAGTCCTTCCCGTCTGGCTGGAACTCTTACATTAATATACCAGTAGGTGTTTTTAACAAAGATTTCTTACCCTTATATATGGTATCCACCCAGACATAGACAGTCGGTGGTGGCATTGATAGAAATGAATTATCGAGCTTTCCACGCAAAAAGTAACCCTGATAGCAAGATCAACAAGAAATGACGTAAAATCCACATGGAAATCCACATCAATATAGTGAAATTATGTGGAAATCTGAATAGTTCCCAATATTTTCCAAATCCAAATACCCTGTGACGAAACACATGGTATTTTCCACAAAATTTTACGTGGATCCACGTAGGATATATGGGAATGTATGGAATACCACATATTTCTGAACTAATCCATATGGAATTACGTGAACCGATCTACCTAAAAATTTCATCGAACAATTTTCACAAAAAAGTTAACTGTAATAGCTGAAATGATTATGGAATGAATGTAGTTGAGGAATTAGTCAAATGCAATAAAAATTTCTCAATTAGACAGTCTCATGTAGTGAAAGATAAAAAAGTTTATTGAAAATAAAATTTTGGTAGCTAAAATATCAATATAATACAAAAAACAACGACTAGTCGACTGCTATAATGAAAATACAAGTTTCGTAATTGTCGGGATAAAAAAAATTTACTTTTTTATTTATAGGTAACTTTTTTTCGGAATTTTCATTCATGTCATTATTACTCTTGGGTTCTTGAAATAAAACTACTGTAAAGAGTTTCTGCTAATATAATTATTAGTTAATATGTTTAGTTTATTTATGATAACTCATTTTTTCTCGTTGTCTTTTCAAACTTGAAACCCTAGCTAATAATATATAAATTTTAAGTAATTTATTATTCTAAGAATTTATACGAATAATTATTATTAAACTTGCTTGTTTTAGTTGTTTTAATCTTATTTAAAGTATATAGTCTGATTGTAGTAGATACTGCTAAATTGGTATGGCTAGTATTATTAGGATTAAATTGATCGAATCCACAGACTTGATTAATATAACATTTTGATAAAGCTGTTGATACTCTAAAGGTGTACCTTCATGTATTAAGCGCACGATCCAGAGAAGATAAAATCATCTGTACGTTTCGGTAGAGTTAGTGTTGAGGGCGTTGATGTAAATAGCGAAAGTTATTTGTACAATTTGGTAAGGCTGTCCAAATGTAACATTCGGTTAGGATACTTCTTAAATGATGTGCCACCTTTTGGCGTAGTAATTTTGCTTTTTTCTTGTTTCCGTGGAAAAAATTTCCTGATGTTTCAACTAAGAAATAGCTATTTTTAATTAATTCGTGGAAAGTGACTTCTATTTTTACTCCTTCACCTAATTGAGCAATATCTAACAGTTTAGGTGTTTTACTTAGTAATAGTTACGGATGTAATATTGTATGAAATATCCAGGTAGTTACTGATCAAAACAGACTTCGGTAACATGGGATATAGCCGATATACGAAGTGTTTAGGGGAGTTCATTTATACTGTTTTTTTTTTTTTTTGCTTTCTTACATTGTTTTTATTTTTCAATTTTATTTGTATAAATAAAGTATAACGCTGTTTATGTTAAAAAGTGAAATAATTGAGAAGGATAAATCATGAAGAGTAATGAATAGAATGTAAATGATGATAAGAGTAGAATGAAAAGAAAATGGACTCAGCTGTACAAAAAACAAAAAATGGGCTGAAACATTCATGAATTAAAAAAAGTTTGCTGTTATGTAAAGAGTCATTAGTGTTTAAATATACGAAAATATTTTGCCTATTTATTTGTTCGCCAAGCATATTGTAAATAGTGATTGTATCCGGTAAGTATTCGGATAAAAAAATCCGTCACCGTTATATCCGGATATCTGTTTTAAATAACCGGATAGCATCCGGATAAATCCGTTAATTTCGCGGATTGCTAAAGGATTTTTTTAATGGATATCTGAAAATGATCCGTCAATATCATGTATCAATTGTATAAATTTTAAAGCCAAGTAATTTAATTAGTATTAATTGTTTAGTAAGAGTTAAATAAAATAAAAAAGAAATCAGTCACGGACTTAAACACGAGTTTGAGTATAAGTAAGAATTAAGTCACAAACTAATATAATCCAAAAAATTTAATTGGTAAACGGGTGTATCCGGGTCACGCGATACTCATCCGGATACCCGTCAACTAAAAAAAAAACCTATCCGGATATCTATTTTCCTTTAGCTTAACTGGATATGCTGAATCCGTTGTTCTGTTGGTGTAGTGATTTGGGTTATATTTACTTTTTATTGGAATGAACATAATGAAGTATTAAAAGTAGATTACGTTATAAATTTTTACAAGTTTCGAGCTATTTATAATAAAAAATGATTAACTAGTTATCATGTGATGTTTTATATCCATTCGATTAAATACTTTAAGATTTTAATTATTTTGCAACAATTTATATTCAAAATCTCAATAAACATTATTATTTCAATACAATAACCTCACAAAAATTACTAAGCGCTCAATACACCCAATGGCACCAAAAAAAAATTAACTCATCCACACAATCACTAGATCAACTTACTTAAACAAAGCTTTATTGCTAATTAATTACTTTCATTTTTCTCCTTTTCCCTCTCGCTCAATATAGATACATAAATAGAAGAGGGCAGCACAGCACTTCAATACGATATATCATCAAATTTTACTTGTGGGTTTAACTCACATCACCTGACGATTCATACTTAAATTGAATTCGTAAAAATGGGTTAAAAAAAAATAATATTTATAAAAAAATTTATTCATTACATTACTACAGGTAATAAAATTTGTATAATAAAATTTATTTATTATGGCAGTTACCTAATTGGAAACAATGTTTTGAGAAAAACACATAGTATAATTAAATTGGTTATAAAAAGTCCCAAAAAATGTTTATAAAAAATAAAACGCTGGTTTATTTTTTCTAATTAGCTAATATTTATCTATATAAAAAAATTTTATTGTTACCGACGAAAAGAAAATAACTTTTTAAAATTTTTTTTTTTTATTTATTTGTAAATAAGAAAAAGTAATTTTACCAGTTTTTTAGGTAACAACTTATTATACGATCATATAACTAGAAAATTCAAAGCGAAATGTTTACAACTATATTAGTATAATGGTTTTGTACGCCCATATACAGTATTAAACTATATTTGTAAAAATTTTCAATTTATACTCATTTGTCTACCAATTTTGTTGGAATAAAAATGCTGATAAAGTTGCTTCTTCATAATCTTAAAACTTTGCAAAAAATTAATTTTGTTTAATTTTCTACATTATAATTTTTTATATAGAAAAAGTGAACATTTTAATTAAAGGTTGTGTGTAATACGATGGAAAATTTTATGTTTATATAAAATAATACCTAATTGGGTTTTGATTCGTAAATTCATCCCTATAAAAAATTTTTATCCGAATATTTCCATTATTTCTCCGTGTCTTCCGTAAAAATTCCGTGAAAATGATACATTCACGGATATCCGTGTTAGCGAGATGAAAATTTCCATGATTTAAGGCTATAAATTCCATGAAAATGATACATTTACGGAAAAAACATGGAAAGATAAAACACGGATCAGATTTTTTACAGGGCATACAAAGACTTTTTATAAAGTTTTTTAGATAATTAAAATTTTTAAAGTTTAAGGATATTATTATTATATAGGCTCTTGGCTATCTAACCATATAAAATATATCCTACCCTATAATTTACGTATAAAATTTTACTTTGTACTGAAAACTAGCATTATGCTTATCATAGTAAATTATGACATCATGCATTCTACCTAGATCGGGTACATCGGAAAAACAATAGCCCGAAAAAAATTTATTTGTTTTGTAACATCCCACTTTTGGTTAAAACATTCCTTTTTAGTAATTCATTCATAATAAATTGAAATAAAAAAAAATTGTCTAAAAAAAACCCGTCTATAAAATAAAATTTTTTTCTAGTAAATAAATTTCTAAAATTATCAATGGAAACTGAATTTAGTAAATCAAATATCTCTGATAAAGATATTAATACAGTAAAAACCAAAAAATGCTCATATTGTAATAAACCTTTTATTGAAGAATTATGGTGTGAAGAATGTATTAATTCTTTTAAAAAATTAGAAAAATTAGTAAAAAATGGTGATAAAAAAGCAATGTTTGATTTAGCTAATAGTTATAAAAATGGAAAAGGAACAGAAAAGAATTTGGAAAAAACCTTTTACTGGTATCAAAAAGCAGCAGAAAATGGTTATATTTATGCAATACTTAATTTAGCCATGTGTTATAAAAATGGAAAAGGAACAGAAAAGAATTTAGAAAAAGCCTTTTATTGGTATCAAAATGCAGCAGAATATGGTGATGAAAGAGCAATGCTTAATTTAGCCATATGTTATAAAAATGGAGAAGGAGAAGAAAAGAATTTAGAAAAAGCCTTTTATTGGTATCAAATTGCAGCGGAAAAGGGTGATGAGGCAGCAATGTTTAATTTAGCTAATAGTTATAAAAATGGAGAAGGATCAGATAAAAATTTAGAAAAAGCCTTTTATTGGTATCAAAAATCAGTAGATAATGGTTATGCTTATGCAATATTTAATTTAGCCATATGTTATAGGAATGGAGAAGGAACAGAAAAGAATTTAGAAAAAGCCTTTAATTGGTATCAAAAAGCAGCAGAAAATGGTGATGAAAGAGCAATGTTTAATTTAGCTATCTGTTACAGAAATGGAGAAGGAGCAGAAAAAAATTTAGAAAAAGCTTTTTATTGGTATCAAATAGCAGCAGGAAATGGTGTTAAAGAAGCAATGTTTAACTTAGCCATATATTATAAAAATGGAAAAAGTACAGAAAAAAATTTAGAAAAAGCATTTTATTGGTATAAACAAGCTGCAGAAAATGGTATTAAAGAAGCAATGTTTAGTTTAGCCTTATGTTATAAAAATGGAGAAGGAACAGAAAATAATTTAGAAAAAGCATTTTATTGGTATCAAAAAGCAGCAGAAAATGATTATACTTATGCAATATTTAATTTAGCCATATGTTATAGGAATGGAGAAGGAACAGGAAAGAATTTAGAAAAAGCCTTTCATTTGTATCAAAAAGCAGCAGAAAATGGTAATGAAAAAGCAATGTTTAATTTAGCTACTTGTTACAGGCATGAAGAAGGAACAGAAAAAGATTTAAAAAAAGCCTTTTATTGGTATCAAAAAGCAGCAGAAAAAGATTATATTAAAGCAATATTTAATTTAGCTTTATGTTATAGAAATGGTGAAGGAACAGAAGAAAGTTTAGAAAAAGCTTTTTATTTATATCAAAAAGCAGCAGGAAATAATGATAAAGAAGCAATGTTTAATTTAGCTTTATATTATGATGATGGAAAAGAAACAGAAAAAAATTTAGAAAAAGACTTTTATTGGTATCAAAAAGCAGCAGAAAATGGTAATAAAATAGCAATGTTTAATTTAGCCAATAGTTATAAAAATGGAAAAGGAACAGAAAAGAATTTAGAAAAAGCCTTTTATTGGTATCAAAATGCAGCAGAAAATGGTTATATATTTGCAATATTTAATTTAGCCATTTGTTATAAAAATGGAGAAGGAACAGAAAAAAATTTAAAAAAAGCCTTTTATTGGTATCAAAAAGCAGCAGAACAAGGTAATATCAATGCAATGTTTAATTTAGCTATATGTTATGAAAATGGAGAAGGAACAGAAAAGAATTTTGAAGAAGCCTTTTATTGGTATCAAAAAGCAGCAGAAAAAGATAATATCAATGCAATGTTTAATTTAGCCATATGTTATGAAAATGGAGAAGGAACAGAAGAAAATTTAAAAAAAGCTTTTTATTGGTATTTAAAAGCAGCAGAAAATGGTAATAAAGAAGTAATGTTTGATTTAGCTATATGTTATAAAAATGGAGAAGGGACAGAAAAAAATTTAAATAAAGTCTTCTATTGGTATCAAAAAGCAGTAGAAAATGGTGATGAAAGAGCAATATTTGATTTAGCTATATGTTATAAAAATGGAGAAGGAACAGAAGAAAATTTAGAAAAAGCCTTTTATTGGTATNAAGAGCAATGTTTGATTTAGCTATATGTTATAAAAATGGAGAAGGGACAGAAAAAAATTTAAATAAAGTCTTCTATTGGTATCAAAAAGCAGCAGAAAATGGTGATGAAAGAGCAATGTTTGATTTAGCTATATGTTATAAAAATGGAGAAGGGACAGAAAAAAATTTAAATAAAGTCTTCTATTGGTATCAAAAAGCAGCAGAAAATGGTGATGAAAGAGCAATGTTTGATTTAGCTATATGTTATAAAAATGGAGAAGGAACAGAAGAAAATTTAGAAAAAGCCTTTTATTGGTATCAAAAAGCAGCAGAAAGTGGTGATGAAAAAGCAATGTTTAATTTAGCTGCTTGTTACAGACATGAAGAAGGAACAGAAAAAAATTTAGACGAAGCCTTTTATTGGTATCAAAATGTAGCAGAGAGTAATAAAGTAGGTTTTAAAAATGAAGTTGAAATATGTAAGGAATGCAATCAACCATATATTGATTACAAATGGTGCCAACAATGTAATATTAAACGATTTCAGCAAGATTTTTCAAAATGGACTAGTAAAAATAACTTTATTGATAAATTTATTCAAGAAGCACAACTAAATGCTAGAAATAGTTATGAAATTTTGGAGTGGATACCTTATAATAAATTCTCAAATATTAATTATTATGATAAAGGAGGATTCAGTGAAATTTATAAAGCTATCTGGTCAAATGGACCTATTTATAGTTGGAATTTTGATAAACAACAATGGAATAGACAATTAGGTTATGAGGTCATTCTTAAAACACTTAATAATTCATCAAGTTTAAATAGCAAATTTCTTGATGAGGTATATATAGTACTTATATTTAATAGTATATTTTACTTTCTTTTGCAAAAATTTAATAATTTTTTATTTATTTATAGTGGAAATATCATTATAGTTGTCAGAAAAAATCATTTTCAAAATTTATTCGATTATTTGGAATTACTCAAGATCCAAATAATTTAAATTATATAATGGTAATGAGCTATGCAGAAAAAGGAAGTTTGAGAAAATACTTATCTGATATAATTAAATTTAAGTGGCAAGATAAGTTACAATTATTGAAAAAAATAATATTAGGGCTTAAAGTAATTCATGAATCAAATTTAATTCATTGTGATTTTAATGATACTAATATTTTAATATCAGATAATTATAAAGAGTTATTTATTAGTGATTTTGGATTATGTCAACCTATAAATGATTTACAAGATTCTGACAATAGAATTGGAGTTTTACCTTATATGGCACCTGAAATATTAAGAAAAAAGCACTATACTCCAGCAAGTGATATTTATAGTTTTTCAATAATAATGTGGGAATTTACATCAGGCATTCCTCCATTTAATTGTGTAGCACATGATCATCACCTTATTTTGAGTGTCTGTAAAGGGGAACGTCCTGAAATTATGAAAAATACTCCAAAATGTTATATAGATTTGATGAAAAAGTGCTGGGATTCAGATCCTTCCAAAAGACCAAATATAGTAATTATTGAAAATACTATTTCTGAATGGATTAGATGTATTAATGAATATTGTAAAATAAACAGGAATAGAAAATATATCTATAGAGTACCTAATATTAATAATCAATTAAAAAATGATATGAAAGAATTTGTAGAGGCAGACAAAGCTTTATTACCAGAACAAGCGAATATTTCTATTATGCAAGCTCATACACTAGCATATTTTACAAGTCGCAATCTTACTGAAATTTTAGATCCAAATACTGATTGTCTTGATTGTATTGTTGCTATATAAAGTAAATGAAATATAATTAGAAATGGTGTAACTATTAACCTGTATAAGTAATTTTAAATTGTGTGACATATAATTCATCTGCATCTGATCTATTCCATGTTTTTGTGGTTTGAAGTTAGATCATAATATATATAACCCTCCTGTACAAATAAACTGAATTGTGATATACAGGATTATATACACATTCCGGAATGATACAATCAATAAAATGTTTAAAAAATTTCTTTTTTGAGTTTTTTTTTAACTGAAAATTTTCTTTTCTGATTATTAATTTTTCCCCTTTATAATTGGTTTTTTTTTTGTTTTTTTTATCATTTTGGATTTTTTTTTAAACTGAATTTTTTTTAAGATTTTTTTTAACCCAGTTCCAGTTAATGAAATTTTAATAATATTTTTTTTTACTAATTGATGAAAAATTTAATTTATTTATTGTATTCGTAATTAATTACGATTATCGATGAAATACGTGCAGCAACTTCTCAATTAAAAGGTTCATATAGAGGTGTAATTAAATGTTCTAAATTACCATTCAATCTTTTTTAAATTATTTTACGTATAGTAAGTGACAAAGATAAGGAAATAGATTTCAAACAATTTTTTTTAGGAATGGGCCAAAATGAAATGGAAGATAAAGATATTAATTGAATATAGCGAATTTTAGTGAATTTAAAAAAATTAGAGAATTTTGGTGTTGAGAAACTAATGAAAAAAGTAAGTTGCAGTAAACGTTCTCATCGAAATTTTGTGGAGATAAGAATTAAATTAATTATAATGTATCGTGTCGTGGATGTGAAATTTACTGTAAAATCTTCGAATGTTATTTCTATAACATTATTAGTTTCTTGGAATATCAAAGTTTATTAAGATTTAAATGTTTAAATAAGTTTCTAATCATGGAGTAAGAAATTTAGGAGATTATTCGATAAAATAAAGTTGGAAAAGATTTAAGAAGGATAAATTTATTAAAATGGAAAGATAAATTTCAAATGGCAATCGGATATTACATGTGGGTTAAATTATTTATACTTAAAAAGCATATTTTTTTATCTTAATGATAATTATTTTAATTTTAATACGTCAATAGCACTTAAAAATATATTATTGTGAATTATTAACTGCAGCGGATAATAGAACCGAAACTATTGAGTATGATACTACGATGACTTATATAAATTATAAAAGAGGAAAAAGTCCAACATTTATATTTACTATGATAAATAACAAGTTGATATCCTTCTTTCATGGCATCTTATAAGTAGGTTGCACTTTCACATTGTTAATAGGAGTTTTAGAGAAACAATTAGAGTACACCTTTAAGGCTTTAAAGCAGTCAATGATCCAAAGAATTTTAGATCAATACGATTCGGTAATGTCTTGTATTGTCAAATGAATATTTTTTATTATTTATTAGTTTATACGACAGATACAAAACATACAAAACAGAAATATAAAATGTTACACATAAAGGAAGTTTTTATTTCATATGAGTTTAGATTTTAAAAAGCTATTCGACATTTTTCTTGATAATATACAGTATATAATAATATGCTTAAGTAAAAAAATATATGCAGTACTTAAGAAATTTCGTTACGTTCATTAATTGACTTATGTTATAATGGGTGTTTATGATACTGCTTCTTAATTTTTTTTTTATTTTTGATAACTGGATTTATGCAAATTAAAAAGTTTATCATTTGTAGTCGCGAATAAAATTTACTGTATATGATAAAATATCAGAAGTGTATTTAAGGACTCAGGGAAAAAACAAAAATTCAATTGAAAATATATATTATTTATAAAGTATACTGGGCATATTGGTTATAAAGATGGTCATCGGTCCTAAAAGACTACGGTCTCGCGGTCCTACACCTTAAAAAGACGGACCAGTCCGTCTTGATGTAGGACCACGGTCTTTCGGTCTTGTAACACGTACAATAAAACCGACGGTCTTTTTAAGGACTCAGTCTTTTTAAGACCGATCAGTCTTTTTTCTTTTTTCTGTAAATAAAAAATTTTCTATTACTTTACTAGGAACAGTCTTCCTTTATAAATGAACACAAATTGTATAAATTTATAGGAACCATTCCAGACGTATATTATAAGCAAATAACATGTATAAAGACGGATTTACTATACTTTATTAACGTTAATTTTCTTTTTTTCCTTGGAGACAGGGAGACAGTCTTTTCTAGAAGTTTCAATATGCATGTAATAACTTTTATATAAAGACCGATACAAAGACCAGGTCAGTCTCAGGACCGGTCCTACTGCGCCAAGAAAAAATGAAAGACCGCGGTCCAGTCCTACAAGTCCTGGGACTGACCGGTCCAGGACCGAGTAGGACCTGTAGGACCGATGACCATCTTTAATTGGTTACTATCATTAGTAAAATACGAAATTTATTATGAATTTTTTTTATGAGCCAAATTTAGATGAGATAATATCTGTTCCTGTAAAAAATGTTGATCCATGTTTTATATTTCCATGTTTTTTCTGCGAATGTATCATTTTCATGGAATTTATAGCCTTAAATCATGGAAATTTTCATCTCTGACGTGAATGTATCATTTTCACACGAAAATTATGGAGAAATAATTGAAATATTCAGATAAAAATTTTTATAGGACGTCATGATCTCTACATTTTTGATAAAGTCATTGATATTCTAAAGGCGTACCTTCAATTGGTCCTTCTCTTTGATCACTAATAATATGATAACATAGTGTAAAGATACTGTACCGCACTGCACAAGATACCCCGGGTATAATATAAAACTCCCGATTTAAAAATTATAAAATACCGGGTACTTTGTGAGACAACGGGTATTATAAATGGTAGGATATTATGAAGCGGGGGGGTATAATAGGGAATACAAATCATCATCCCAATTTAGTAACATATCATATTGGTACATGTGTGCGACACAAATTTATTATACAGTCAGCCCCCTCTACAATCACACCCCTCGGGACCATTCAATGATGTGATTATAATGAGGTGTGCCTATTGGTGAGGGTTTAATTATATAATCACATATATATAAATTTTTAAATAAATGTGATTATATAAAAAAAAATCATCAAAAAAAAAATTTTGTAAAAAAGTTTATATGTAAAATATACTTAAAATCGGCTAATTATTAAAGATATTATGCTAATTTTTTACAAATTTTTTGAAAAATAAAAAACTAATTTATCCCACCCACCCATACGATCTTTAGTTCTTTATATAGTTTTTTACTTTACACGAACGCGTATACAAATGCGACGCAAAAACTTAAAAAAAAATCGCGTCTTATGCACCCCTTAAAATTGCAATTACACAACGAATTTAAATTTTGAACTTTATTATTATCTATTATTATATTAAACTATTAGTTTAAAAATGTATCAAGTATAGTTTGATTTTTAGAATTAAATGCTTTAAATCTCGTTACGCGCAAATACTTTTTAAAGATTTGTAAATCATTAAAATCAAAATCATCATCATTTTGTTGTTCAAAATATTTGATATACGTCTCTAATAAATCAACGGCTTTTTTTGCTGATATTAAAGGTACTATTACATCATCATCGTCATCATCATCATCATCATTATTATTATCATCTTTCTCATTTTCATCGCGTTGTATAAAATTAATAATTTGTTCATCGGTAAGAACTTCTTCAGTTGGAATCTCTTTATCAAGCATTTGAAAATATTCCAATAGACCATCAGAATCTTCTGGTAATTCACTAAGAAGACTTTCAAGTTCGTTTAAATCCAAATCAATATCGATATCATTATTGTTATTTACATCATCAATATCATTAAGATTATCAGATGGAAGAATACCCGTCTTAATCCAACAATTTTTAATAGTTGTTTGGGTAACATTATTCCAAGCATCGGCAATATAATCAATTGCCTCTTTAATATTCAACTTATTCCTATGTAAACAATAATATTAGTTAAATATTATTTATTAAAATTAATTAAACAATATTTATAACTTACTTCCTATAATCTATTCCAAAATCAAATTGTTGAATTAAATGTTTGCAAAACTCTTGTTTGTATTTAGATTTAAAACTATTAATAATTCCAGCATCCATAGGTTGAAGATGTGCTGTTGTATTTGGTGGAAGATAAGCCAATTCAATATTAGTAAGATTAGGTATATTTTTTTTTTGTTGTGTTTTATTTTTTTGCTTTTTTTTGTTAGATCCTTGCTCACTATTTTCTTCATTTGACATCTCATCATTACTAATATCATTATCATTTTTCTCAAACCTTTTTGGATTAAAATGAGAACCAGCATTATCAATAATCAATAATATTTTTAGATTTAATGTACGAAAATAATAATCAAGATGATTAAGCCATTCAACAAAAATATCTGAACGCATCCAAGCTTTGGAATTAGCTCGATATGTTACAGGAAGAGCTGATTTGTTAAAATTTTTAAAACATCGAGCATCAGCAAGTTTGAAAAGTGTTGATTCACACCAGTATACGCGTTGATCAACACCAGCTAGTTGTTCAACACATTTTACAATATTAATCAACACCCGTATACTGAAGTATACCAACGCATAATGTTAATATACGCGTCATTCAACTCTAATGTGTAGTTCAATGCACTGTATATTAAGTATTAACACAACTAAATAAATTATATTAATTTATTTATTTTTACTCACCTTAGGAACCGAACCGGTTACCTCAATTACACTATTAATATATCAATCTCACGATCTAACCATTGTACTATTATAAGTATTTATTAAAATTAATATTAAGCATTACGTATTTTATGTAATGATATATCACGTGTGTCACGTGATACTGGATTAATAATTACCACTGCGCCACTGTGGTATAGCAAAAATTTTTTTAGCAAAGCTTAATTTTTTTGTTTTCCTTCGTTTTTCCCATTACCTTTCATTATCCCCTTCCCATTCGTTTTCCCATAACCCTTTCATTCTCCCCTTCATCCTATAAAAAGTTTTATCCGTTATTTATGTAAAAACTCTGTAAATTCCATAATATAAGGTTATTAATTCCTGAGATATGAGCCTTATACGGAAAAAAGTTGGAAGGTATCAAACTTCTGGTAAGTTTCGCAACGAAACATTGCGAAACTACTTTTTCATTTTTTAACGAAACATTTTTTAGTAACGCTTCGAAATATTATTCTTATTTTTAATTTCTTTAATCGGAACGTTGGCTAACGTTCCGATTTATTATTTTTTTTTTAAATTTTTAAATCGGAACGTTTTTAACGTTCCAAAATATTCTTTTTTTTTTTTAATTTCTTTAATCGGAACGTTGGCTAACGTTCCGATTTATTATTTTTTTTTAATTTTTAATCGGAACGTTGAAAAACGTTCCGAAATATTGTTTTTTTTAAAAAATTCTTTAATCGGAACGTTGGCTAACGTTCCGATTAATTTTTTTATTTCATTTTTTAATCAGAACGTTGAAAAACGTTCC